CTGCGCCTCCTGCGTGAGGCCCGTGACTTCCAGGCTGCCCGCCTCGACCGCCACGACCGGGGGCCATGCGCCCGCATGCGCCCCCGACCCTCCACTGGCCTTGCCGAGATCCTCGTCCTCGTTGGCGGCTGCGACCGTGACTGTGACGAGCTTGTCACCGTCGACTGCTACAACCCACGCACCGGCCACTGGCGCTACCTGGCTGAGTTCCCCGAGCACCTTGGCGGGGGCTACAGCGTCGCCGCGCTGGGCAACGACATCTACGTCACTGGTAAGGTGTGCAGGGCACGAAAGCACCAGTGTTGAGATTTCTGTTGAAAACATGTAGGTTCTAGCAGTGAGACTTGGCTTTTCTCGGGATAGCAGAGAGTCTGGAACTCTGCTCAGACTCAGTATGACTGCAGCCTGAAGATGGGCATAGGGACTCCTGGAGTTGGTGCTGGATTTAGCAGCTGGTCTCAACCCGGGAAGTATTTTGTCATGACTAATGCTCCTGAGCACGTGGGCAGAAGTCAGAAATCTTGCACCGGTAGAGCTTTCTAACCCCTCACTCCAGGGGATAAGAGTGACTTGAGAGGGTTTTGAATTTCTGGCTGCGAAGAAAGTATTTGGGTTAAGAGCCCCGTGAATCACAGGCCAGGCGCGTGCTTGAGGCAGAGGCGTGTCAGAAAGCCTCGGGTTCCTCAGCCAGCCTATGAGTCATGGTACCTTCCCCAGTACAAACCCTGCCTCCTCACAGTCCACTGGGGCCATAATTACTTCTGCCAAGGTGACATGGATGTGTAAATTTGGCTGTTAATCTGCATGTAGATGCCTCCTTTGAACTACATCCCTGTAGCTGGAGCAGCAGTCCTGTGGCGGCCATGACAAACCAAGGCCTGAGAAACCAGGCGCTGCAGAACAGCTTGCTCTGGGTGGGCAGGACACGCTGACAAAGTTTTGAAGAGCAGGTCAAACGCAGGTGAAGAGAAGACTGTTCCTTCTCTAATCACAAGCAGAAACCAAGGCTCTGCTTTAAGGGCAGACGTTGGGGTACCACACAGCTCGTTTGTATGGACACCCTTACATCCCATGAGAGCTTTGCAGAGCAATCCCAGGCGGGTCTGGGGGCGCCGATACTGCCAAGAGCCCCCTGCTTCGGCAGAGCTACTGCTGGTGGGGATCTTTGGTTGTTCCGCTCTGTCAGCGTTGTAGCATGGGCAGCAGGGAGAGTTGGAAGGTTTCCGTGCTGTCAGTGGTAATGCTGCCTTGGCAGCCAGGTGCTGGTGAGTGTTAGGGAGCAGCTTCTGGGTAGCGACGGAGCACGGGTGGCAAAATGGGGAAGAAAACGGTTCTTTGGAAGGATGGAGGTAGTCAAACCTGGGAGACTCATTTTGAGTCATGGCTCAGTACAGGCTAAAAACAGCATGGGAGGAATCCTTCCTGGCTCACTGGGAAAGAAACCATGCAAAACTTCTGTTAAAATCCTCATCGTGCACACTACTTTGGTCCCCTGGTACCAAAATATTTTCGTAACATACGGCCCTGGGAAGCAAAAAGTGCATGTGGGTATTAAGGTGTAGCTGCAAGACATAACAAAGATCCCAGTCTCAAGCCAAGCCCTCTCCTCCATCACCCCGTTACACTTCCCTTTGCAAAACCGCACGTTGAAATGTGGCGTGCTGTGCCGCAGGGGGATCGGACGGATCGAGGCTGTACGACTGTGTCTGGAGGTATAATTCCAGCGTGAACGAGTGGACGGAGGTGTCGCCCATGCTGAAAGCCAGAGAATACCACAGCTCCACGGTCCTGGATGGGCTGCTGTACGTGATCGCCTCCGACAGCACGGAGCGTTACGACCACTCGGTGGACAGCTGGGAGGCTCTGCAGCCCATGCTGTACCCTATGGACAACTGCTCCACCACCTCGTGCCGCGGCAAGCTGTTCGCCATCGGCTCCCTGGCGGGCAAAGAGTCCATGGTTATGCAGTGCTACGACCCCGACAGTGACCTCTGGTCCCTCGTGAACTGTGGGCACCTGCCTCCCTGGTCCTTTGCCCCAAAGACCGTCACTCTCAACGGCCTCATGTACTTCATAAGGTGAGTAGTGGGAGCGATAACCTCCCTCCCCATGTCCCTGCTGCACAAGCCCCGGGTTTCCCCAGGAAGGTGTGCAGATTTTGGGGGTGGTTGTAGGAGAGCACTGTGTCGGGAAAGCACGGCAGTGCTTCCTCTGATGGTACAGGCGGGTCTGTAAACCGCCACACCGCTTCCCTTTACTTCTGTTGTAGCTAGGACCTCAAAGAACTATGCTTAAAATTGTGTAAACATGTCTGAATCTAAACCCATGGGATGGGGAATGGCCAGGTATAAATCTGGCTGAAGTCAGCAGCACTGCTTTGGAAATGGACTTCTCAGTTTGCTTGGCTTCTGGTTCAACCCCCCCTTGTTGCTATAAATAAGTGAGTAAGCTCCAAGAAAACGTTAAACTGTGGCGCAGGAGAGGACATCTTCTGTCTCAGCAGAGATAAGAGGACTCAAGATGAAATGATTGGTCACTATTTTTAAGCGCCTTTCCAAATTGGGACTTAATTACTTGTCTGAAGCTGTCCTGGTGGCGCAAATACTTCAGTTATCCACTTAATTAAAAATAAACTGAAAGGCATGCTTGTGCTGAAGCATTTCATCTTGTTGTGTTGACTTTGAGCAAACATAGACTTCTCTGATGGCATTCAGACACTTTTCTTTTTTTAATCTCCTCTTGGCTTTGCATAAAGCAGCAACTTCCACCCAAGATTTTATTTGATTCATTTGGGTTCAGCTGAGTGTCTGGGTTCCTGGCAGTTGTTTGTAGGTAGCAGTTTGAGTCACTTGGTTTTCAGTAAATGCTGGCAGGGGTGTCTCAGCTGTTTGGCTACTTGTCACAAGCCGATTCTATAGGTTTGCCTTTCTATCCATTTTAAAATACCGATGATTGACACTTCAAGATTTCTGATGACTTAAGCATCTGCAGGAGTTAATGAGGAGGTTGTCAGAATCAGGTTTTTCTTGCCTCATTTCACGTGCTGCACGTGGGCTGCTGCTCTGTGTAAAGTTGCAAGATAATCTTTGGAGGACAGAGGAATAAGGTACAAATAAAAGTCGCAACCTCATTTTTTGGTTAGTTTTAAATAGCTCAGACTGAAGCTTCTGACTGATGATCTCCACTAGTGGGACTACTTTTGTGATTATAAGTATGGCACAGCAGCGAGGCTTAGGTCTTCAGCTGCGCCCTTCTTAGAGCTAACCCTGAGATCGGAGAGGAGGTCCTGGCCTGACTGTCACCAGTGACTGGAACTGCATGGTGAGAGCTTTGCCCCTCATTTCCCTTCCAGTCCGTCAGGGTTTTCAGCTTCATACTTGGAAGTATTCGACTCGCCTGCTGCCATTCGTTATGGGAGGCATTGTGAACAGCAGCAGTTCTGCCAGGTACAAACGGCTCGGCTGCAGCATTTAGCTCCCAAGCGCTGCATCCCAAGGCAGGTACCAGCTCTTGGTTCTGAGCAGTTCTGAGGAAGAAAGGTTGGTCTTAGTGCAGCTCCGTGGGGCTTGGAGCACTCACTTACATGTGCCTATGTTAAAGATGTTTCATTCAGGTGAATATCAGTTCAGTTCCAGGTACATCACAAAAGCAACTCAAACTAAATAAACTGGTTTTAACATGCATATAGTATTGGGTGCCTTAGGAGTGCTTGTCCAGGGTGTGACCAGAAAGTCCCAGGGCACACGCCTCAGCTTCGCTGCAGGCTTAGCAGACAGGTTTCTGATGTAATGGTTTGCTAAACAGACGCTGCTGTTGTAGGTGAGATTTCATGTTTATTTTCACTCCCTCCCCTGCTCAGATTCACAGCAGCAATCGCTAGTGATACCTTGTTGCCCCCACGATGCATGGCAACGCACCATGTCACGATGGATTTAAAGACAATAAAATATTCCTTGCAGCCTTTTGAATCCGTCTGTGACAGGACTGCCTTGGAGTGACCAACAGCACTCCTCCAGCTGCCCTGACCTTGTCCTCTTCGCATTCTTGTGTCAGCGGCGCGCGTTTCTGCACCGCAAACGTCCCTCACCTGTCGCTGTCGCCCTCCTGTCTCGCGAGTGGAGCGGGTGAGAGAAGCCTTGGGGGATTATGCTGCCCCTGCCAGCTCTTCTCTTGCAGTCCTCCAGCCCATCTAAATTTGATGTTGGCAAAAAACTCAAGCGGTAGGGATGCCGTTGCTTTGAAGTGTGTGGAGGCTTAAGCCTCTCCAGAACAGCAGTAACCTTTCTTCCAGACCCTGCAGCACTTGGCACCAGAGCCGTATCGGTTTGTGAAATGCAGAATTGCAGAAAGCTACTCTGTGAACACACCTACCCTATATGCAGGCATAAAAAAAAGACTAGATTTGAGAAGGCCCCCGGCATTGCACAGAGATTTCTGACCCAGCAGTGGCGTAGCCAGGCACTGGGCTCTGAGCGGGGCTCATGGTCCAGAGCAGCTCACCCCACCCTCTTGGGTGGAGCGACCAACTTAGGGAGGTGGAAAACAGTGCATGCCGTCAGCTCGCTCCGTCTCCCATCACCATGTCTGCCTTCCCTCCTAAGCAGCGTCCTAAAACTCGCGTGCACCAGAAAGCATAGAGCACGTTCCTTTGCTTGTAGAGACGCTCAGGATGGGCATTCGGGCTCTTTGGATGTCGGTTGCTGGCATGGAGAACGGAAGAAGCGCTCCTGCACTGACATGTGGTACATGTGCAATGTCTGTGCCATCCTGCTTCATGGGCAGGGGTGCCGCAGAGAGGTTCAGGTGTTTTCTGGGGTGAACATCACCTCTGGCACACAAGAAGGCCGTGCTGGAGGCTGGGGTCTGCATCAGGACCTGCTCCTTCGTACAGGAACCCTTTGATCCCCAATACATGTAGCAGGACTGGAGCGGAAGTGCTCACAGCAGCATGTCAGGCTGTTGAACTGGGGGCTTCACAAGGCAGGAGGTTTTTCAAACGCAGAAGAGTAATTTTGTGTTATCTCCCACAGGGATGACTCGGCTGAAGTGGATGTTTACAATCCAGCAAAAAACGAGTGGGATAAAATCCCTGCCATGCTTCAGGTAGGATGCTTACCAACACACTGGATGCTTCTCAGTGTTAAAAATGAGCTTAATTTGGAAAACCAGGTGCTCTTTAGACTGTAACCCCTTGCACATGGAGTGCCTTTAAGAGTATCACAGTCACCTGGAAGCAAAAACTTGGACTGTGTTTGCGTAGCCAGGTGTTCAGCCCAGCACGTGAGAGCTGGGCAGAGCTAGAAAACTCTGTCTCCTCCCGGTGCCTGGGCAGCACTGGTTCAGAGCCAGTGTCAGCAGCTGGTGGGCCCTGCGTCCCATCCAAGCAAGCAGTTGCAGGACAGCACCCGGCACCTTTATCATCCGCCTAGTTGTGCTAAACCCTCCTTTCTAATTGCTGTATATCTTTATTTTTAAACTGTAGGTTCATGTTGGGGGGAGCGTGGCCGTCCTTGGCGGCAAGCTCTATGTCTCTGGTGGCTATGATAACACGTTCGAACTCTCAGATGTCCTGGAAGCCTACGACCCCGAGACACGAGCGTGGAGTGTGGTGGGCCAACTCCCTGAGCCCATCTTCTGGCACGGCAGCGTCAGCATATTCCGGCAGTTCATGCCAGAAACCACACAGGAGGATGACGGCATCACGCTGGACAACACCATCAACTTGAACAGGCAGCGTCAAAACCTTCACAACCAGAACCTTAACGAGCTTCGTTAGCAGGGGAAGGAGTTGTCCCCCTGGCTCAGCGCGAGTTCGTTATCCAGAACCAGTGTTGCTTTGGGAGAAGGCAGAAGCAAACTGGTGCTTGGAAACAGAAACGTACTGATCACAGAGGGAGTGAAAACTGAGTGTTTGACGTGCTGTGGCAGAAGCGCAGACAGCGAGGCCTCCGCTGCGGCAGCCCTCGGCCCTTCTCTGGGGCGAGAGAAGGTGCTGCACTGCCCGCAGAGGAGACCCAGGGGGTGAACTCTAAGGAAAGCTATCGCGTTGAACATCACCGCAGCATCATAGCTTACAGCTTTTGATCAGACGCCTTTCACTGGGAGCTCCTTCACCCCACAACGCTTCATTTGCCACCAAACTCCTTTCTTCAGTGTTTTCTTTGGGAGGGGTCTGTCTGGTAGGACGGTGCTCTGTAGCCCCACCTCTGTTCTGTGCCTCGGAGGAAGACAAGACTTCCTCCGCACGGCCCCTTCTGCGTGGTTAGAAGGGGGAAAGGCCTTCCCACAAGAGCTGGAGGTCTGTTAGCGGTGAGAGGTTAATATGAGAAGATGGCCCTTCCTGCCCTGTCACCATGTCCTCAGTTCCCTCGCCTTAAGAAGGAACAGACGTCCTGTAGCAGGGATCTCACTGAGGCTGGCTTGTGAAGCTTCACCTTTCCCTTTGTCTGAACTTTGGTTCTTCCTGATTTTGATGTTTTGGGGTTTTTTTTAAGTTGCAGCATTTAAACTTTTTCAGGTATTTGTTTTCCAACCCTTCCTAGAAAAGCACCTTTTCCATCTAAGAAGAAACACCTTTATTTATCTTTTGGTCGCATTCTCACAGCTAGATTGTTTTTGTTTCAGATCACCTAGACTGTGCCCTCCTTTAAGGGGATGGGGAGAAGCGAGTACCCCTCTTAGCCAGCCTGGGGAGTGACTCCTGGGGCTGGCTGCTGCTGCTGTTCTCCCTTCCCAGTGCGACAGGGCTTGTCAGTCGCGGGGCTGAACTAGGCAGAAAAAGCTGCTGCTTGTGGCAGGGGCTGTTTGCTGCCAGTTGTCCCATGCCAAGCTCTCGGCCGGCACGCTGGATTGGACATAGGCCCCGTGCAGCATGGGCAATTTTTAGTTTCTTCACCGTTTTAAAGGAGCTAAGTTGGCATTGTACTATTTTAGAAAAAAACCAGAAACTGCCCGGCAAAGGCAAGTGCAGCCTCCTCAAGAGATTCCCCGCAGGCTTGCTCAGTTGCTGGTGGTGTTTAGAGAATTGGTCAAATTGAGAATTTGATGCAGAATTGGTTTCAGATGCATTGCCTTGTGTGAAGGAACCCACTGGACCTCCGGAGGGGGTCTCGTGCCCGTTGCGCCTCCGGTTTGCCGGAGCACTCAGGAGGTGTAGGAGTTAGCCAGAGTGTTGCGGATTGAAAGGTAGTTATTTTAGGGTTGGTTTTTTTCTTCTTTTTGTTTGGGGTTTGCTGGTTTTTTTGGCCTGTGTAAGATTTGCCTTTATACTCGCCCAAGTGACCTACCTGTAGCTCGGGCTGTATTTCCTCTGTCTACCCTAGCTGAAGAGGACCTGCGTGCAGTTTGCTCATGGAATGTTTCCTGAAGAAGCGAACAGCTAAAACCATGGTACGGCTCACCCGAAAACAAGCAGCGTGCCTTCGGGAAAACTGTACAGTGCGACAATGGCTGAAGCGTTGGCTGGACGCGTTCGCTTTTTCCATCTTTTGTTCTTAACCAACAGGAAAAAAATTTTAATTTAAACTTAATTCAGAGATGGGAAGCCCATATAATTGATTGCCTTCTGGCCTGCCCTTGGACCTGGTAGTGTCAGGGCCCCATCTCCACAACATCGGCGGCTTCACAGCTTTAAAAGAATCTCTTTTGCCTTGAATGCTATTTTGTGCCCCGCTCCTCAGCTGCGGGACTTGGGAAAGCCGTCTATGGCGTCTGGGCTGTTCTCCAAGTCTGGAACTTTGACAGTGCCTTGAAACAGCGCGTGCCGGCGGAGGGGCCTCGCCCGGCCATGGCAGCCTCTTGGTTTAAAACCGTCCATGGCGCTGCCACGGGCCCCCCTTGGACAGAGGAACTGGGCGGGGGGGACGTGTGGGGACCCGCCATTCGGGGTGGCTCCTTCGTTTCCGGGAGTAAAGGCTGCGCCAAGCCACGAGGCCAAAGCAGCCCATCCCCGCGGTGCCGTGTCATGCCCGGGGAGAGACAGCGCGCACGGCGCAGCTGAACTTGCGTTGCAGACTGAAGTATTTACGCCGAACTATAAATAGTACGCACACTCTGTCTCATGCTGTAGTGCTCGCTGCTGGACCTGCCACCCCCAAATTCCCCAACTGGCTGGAGAGTTATGGATCTGTATTTATTTTTTGTAAAATTCATTGTGTCCGGATCTTTGAGTACAGTTTAAGTACCATCCTTTGAAACAAAGGCATTTTACATTTACAGATAATGTATTTTTATTCTCATCATTTGTTTTTAGATTTACTTGCAGCAGTCAAGTTAAATAAAACACGTTACGTAAACCTCTCTGTTGTCTCCGAGGGGAAGATTACTGGAGTAAGTTTTTACTGCGACATTTCTCATTTTAGGCCCGAGGGATGTTTAAACTGGAGACTTTCTGCTGCCTTTGGTAAGTAAAAGAGGGAAAGCGGAGAGAGTGGGACTGTGATTTTGGGGTGTGTGGGTACACTCGGTGATCTCCCCTCAGCCTGGGAATACTCGGGAAACGCTTCTCAATGTCACAGCAACGCTGGATCGTGCCATTTCAGACAAATGTAAATCCCTGCACCTAAAACCCGGAGCTTAAAGCATTGTCCAGCTCCTTGAGATACGGTGTTTCAAGTCACAGCTAGATTCTCTCAATGGTGAGAAGACATGGGCCATGCCCCATCTCTGACGGGGTAAAGAAACAGCACTTAGCAGAAGCTTGAGAAAACAGTGGAAATAAGGCACAGATTTAACGGGGGAGACAATACTTTCCGCAAGCATTTAGGGAAAGGGGCAGAGCCACGCTCCACTGGGGAAGGCAAGCTTTAACCGTGAGCTTTCAAAGGCAGAACTGCCGGCGCCTGGGGGAAGCGCTGGGAGAAAGGGGAGATGAGCACCAGCCGTCCCTCCAGCTGCAAAAGGGAGCTTGTTAAAAAGCAATGCAGAGTATTACACAGTCACATCCTGCCTCGTACAGCATACGTGCATTTATTTAAGTAGCCATTCTGAGTAGCTTCATGTCTGTTTCTTCATGTGAGACCCAATTATAATGTCATTTCCCTGCAACCCGGGCTGCGTGCTTTACGGGGAAGGAGGGGAGGGGGCGGATGCACAACTCAGAACAAGCGCGGCAGAGCGGCTCCAGCCTAACACTTTATTGTGTTTTGGTAGGAAGGGTGCGTGCCGGCCGCCGCACTATGTTTCACAGTCTTCAGGGATCGTTGTTGTTATAATCAGCGACTGCTCAATCACATCCGCTGTGGAGAAGTTCTCGTTTGAGCAGAGTCTCTGCACGGGGATCTCCTCGGGCAGGGAGCTGCGGGACAGGGACTCCACGATCACCTCAGCCGAGCCCACCTCCAGCTCCGGGGGTGGCTGGAGTGCCACCACCACAGCTTTCTCGTCCTCGATGATCAGGTTCCGCAACTTCCGCTGCCGGGGGTTGTAGTTCTCCACCCGGTCGTGAATCTCCATGTGGCGCCTCAGGTGAGCCTACCAAAGGAAGAGGCATGAGGAGGGGCCCAGTGAGGGACAGCTGCCCTGGCATGGTGCACTCCACAGGGGTGCCCAGAGCTGGGGAAGGCCTAACCTGCCGCGTGAACTTGTAGCCGCACTCAGTGCACTCGAACTTCCGCACGCCCTTGTGCCGGCGGACGTGGACGCGCAGCTGTTCAACAGCTGCGAAGGGAAGCAAGAGCCCACTGGCACCACGTTGTACATGCTCGCAGCGATGCCCACCCGCGGCCCCAGAAAGGAGGGTGGTTTCTAAGGAGCCATGCGAAAGCTGGACACCCTGGCTGTTACCTTTGAACGTCTTTCCGCAGATCTGGCAGAAGTGGGGCCTCCCCTCCTGGTGCCGGCTGGCGATGTGCCTCAGCAGGGGCCCCTTCTCGGTGAAGCGCTGATCACAGAACTCGCAGCTGAAGGGGCGCTCCCCGGTGTGGGTCCGGTTGTGCTTGTCCAGGCTCGCTGCCGAGAGGGGGAGAGCTGCAGGTCAGCGGTGCGGCACGTGCCCCCCATTCCAGGGCTCAGGTACATGGCACGCTGCAGCAAAGACCGCGCGTGCGCGTTGTGGTTGGTCTGTGCCAAGCAGGCCAAGAAGCGGTACAAGCAGCAGCCTGCTGGTCCAGGCCGACCTTTACTGGGGAAAAGTCATCAACTTCTGCCCGCTTTGTGCTGCCAGGGTAATGGAGATAAGGGGCACATGCCCTCCCAGCATTAGCACGCACTCACAAGAACCTGGCTTTGCTTCCTGGAGGTCCTGCATACCAGAGCACAGTGCTCAGTGCTACCAGCCACGTGCCTGGGGGGTACCTTGTGTCCTGAAGGTCTTGCCACAGAGGTGGCACTGGAACGGCTTCTCACCGGTGTGCGTGCGCAGGTGCATGTTGAGGTTGGCTTTCTGTGTGAAGGCGTGGTGGCAGAACTCACAAACGTAGGGCCGCTCGTTCCTGTGGGCAGGGGAAATGCTACCTTCACCTCTGCTTTTGCCAGCTTCCGCCCCTCAGGTTAGCTGTCACTGCTCGCCCAAAGTTCTTGTCACTAAATCCTGCTTCAGCTTGTCTCAAACTAAAGCATTTTAGAGGCCCACAAATGCTGTTCTGCAGCCATGGGCTCCCGAGACGGAGCCTCCCATTCCTTGGGCATTATAACCAGCCCAGGAAACAGAACACTAAGGACAAGTGCGGCGAGCTGCCGCACGCTTTCCACTTCAAGAACACAGATTAACCGAGCTGATGAGCTTCGGTCAATGCCTGTACTGCTATAGTCAGGCACTCGGACCAAGTGCCGACAGCACGTGCTGCCTTTGGAGGAGAGAAAAGCAGAATGCCAGCTGGCGCATTGCCAGCCTTCTGGCAGAAGTATCAGCCCAGCACCTCCAGGGAAGGGGGTACTTGCTGCCCTCCAGCCAGCTCCACTCCCCAGTACCGCCCAGCCAGGCCCTTGGGGGAGGAGGAGCAGCCAGGAGACCCATCACGACAGACGAGAGGACACAGGTCACGTCATACCTGTGTTTGGCCTTGATGTGCATCTGCAGGCCGTTGCGACTCGATGCCCTGTGCCCACACTCCTCGCAGACAAACAGCTTCTCTCCCCGGTGCTTGAAGGCCTCGTGCAGGCGCAGCTCTGTCCGAGACAGAAAGCACTTGGAGCAGGTCGAGCACTGCAAGGCCACAGGAGAGCGCAGGGTTAGGCGGCTCGCCCGGGTGCAGATCGCAGCGTATGCCCACAACCGACCCGCTCACCGCCCAGGACCCGTCCCTCCGCCTGCTGCTGCTGCTCTGGGGCCCTCCCTGGGGCTGGCTGCTGCAGCACCCCCTGCCCCAAGGCACCTAGTGGGATGCGACAGCCCGACAAATGCAAAATGCTGGTCAGTGCTCGGGTTTATTGGCCAAAAAACTCTGTTTCTAGCAGCGCTGTAGCTCCCTGCCTCACTAAACAGAGCCAACAGGACGATGGGCACCATTCTCTAGGCCAGGCCTGAGCGAAGGATAATTCCCTCTCAAAAGCCACCCACCCACTTCCCTTACCGCGTGGGGCTTTGGTGCGCCGTGCAGCTTTATCATGTGGCTCTGCAGGTCCTTCTTCTGCATGAACTGCTGGGCACAGGAGGAACACTGGAAGACAGGAGAGGAGGGTCAGCTTCCAGCCACCCTCCAAACAGCGATTTCGGAATGAGAGGACCAGCAGGGCGCCAGCACAACAGGCAGGGGAGCACCACTCTGACGCAGAACACAAATTCCTGGTAAGGCCACAGAAAGCGCCTGTCTTCAGTACCACCCCAGAGCACGTTTCGGCTCAGAGATGGGGAATGACCCACAGTGGGCTGCTGCAGGCCAGGGAAGGGAGCCGGTGCGCTTGGCTCCCCGACCACCTGGGCCCGGCTGCCCCGAAACAGAAAGGCTCGCCCCCTCCTCCTCCCATGCCAGTGTCCAGCAGGCATTCATCAGGACACTGAAGGCAGGCGCTGCTGACCTTATACGGCATCTCCCCGGTGTGTGACACCATGTGCAGCCGCAGCTCCATGCGCCTCTTGAACACCTCCTGGCAGACTGAACACGTGAAAACCTGCAAGAGACGGAGGAGGCATCAGCTCCCGCAGAACCAAGAGTCCAACACGAATCCCGCAGCTCAGACCAGCGCTTGGCACTTGGGCGCTGGGACGTGGTTATGACAGGTTTAACCCACGCCCGTAGCAATCTCAATCTTTTATGGTACAAGGAATATCCTCATGCACTTGGAAAAAAACAAAAAACGAGAGTTGTCTGGTAAATCAGACAAAAGCTGCTGCCATCTTCATGGGCGGTGGACTTGGGGGGCATCCTGGCTGCAGTATGTGTGCCACGCAGCGGTGATGAGCGGTTTTTGTTTGGTAGCCGAGTGTGACGTGGACCGCAGCTGGAAAAAGGCTCTAATTCCTATCCTGCAAAACGGCACCCACTTTGCAGACCACCGGTGGCAGCTTCCCAGGTGTACCTGCTCGGATCGGTTCATGCAGTTTCTGGCTTCGTGTTCCAGGAGATTCTCTTTTCTAAAATAACATTTGCCGCATTTGGAACATTCAAATGGCTTTTCTCCAGTGTGTTTCCTAGGGGGAATACAAACAGAGAGCATCCATCACTGCCGTCCGACAGCAGAGATGCACGAACAGGCCTGGCGAGGACAGCGGGAAGGAACTGGGAAGGGAGAAGGACCAGGCAGCTTTTACATACACCCCACTCCAGTGCCAACATTCTGTCCAAAAGCCGCCTTTTAAGCCAGCTTTGCTGTTGAGCTGTTGGCACCCACCACGCTCCATGAAACCTCAATTTTCTAGGGCTAACGTTCACCTCTCGCAGACAAGCGAAGCTGGAACTCTCTGCAGGCACCTGTTTCATTCTATGTCACCATCCCGAGGCTCCTGGCTGTGCCCGACCACGCTGACGTCACTACCCGTAGCCGAGGCTCGTTCCCCCCCAGCCCGTGCCAATTTTAAAAGCCCGGAAGGACTATTTGCCACCGCCCACCTGCAGCCCGCATATTCTCCCAAAAGAGCCCCTCAACACCACCACTGTTTTGAGCCAGGCTGCTCCAACACCCGAAAGCAGCAGCCCAGGACAGTCGTTGCAGCTCTCAGAAGCATTTCAGATGTATGGTCCCCCACCCCCGGCTCAAAGCCACCCAGCCCCGGGTGGCAGAGGGGACCTCCTTTTCCGTCTTGGGGGATGTAGAGGCAT